CCCGGGTCTGGCCAACGTGACAGAAGAATTGTTTTGAAAGTTCAGACCTTGACGAAGGCAAGTGGACAGAGCACAGCGAAACAGAGACAGCTGAGGACACAGACAGGGACCCGAGGACAGAGGGGAGAAGACACGAGTCCAACCGCAGGGATCTGGTGCTGCCACGGATCCGAGCAGATGCAGCCCAGTGGCTCCCCGCCCCCCGCCCCTGAAAAGCAATGGAAAAAATATCCTCAGGTGAGAATTAACAACAACAAAACACTGTTTCTCTCCACTTAACCACCCCTCTTGCCCTTGGCAACTTCCTACACCTGTGGATTTATCCACCTGTGGATTTATCCACAGGCACCTGCTCCTGAGCTGCTGCTGACCTGAGAGGAAGGCACAGACTTCTTCCGCTTGTGTGTTTTCCCACAAGGACCTTCCTTCCCGAATCAAGCACCCAGAGACCCCCAATGGTGGAGGCCTGGGGAAGTCCTAGGAGTGTCTTCCTCACCTGCCAAACCATACCTGCACTCGGGCCAGCTGGTCTACCTCTCGCCCGGTCCCAGGGAAACACGATGCTGGGCTGGGAGGAGCTCACAAGGTACGGTGACACCACAGGCCTGGAAGGCCACAAACCCACAGGGCTTACTGGCAGCGCCCTGTCCTTCAGCAGGACCCGTCCTCCCAGTCACCCACGCAGATGCCAGGTGTCATCTCTGACTTCTCCATCTGCTGGGCTTCGTGATCCGAAGTTCACTGAGCAAAGTGGGTGTCCCCCCTGCCCACCTTCCATCATCGTCAACCCAAGGCCCTTTCCCTCTGGCTTGGACAGCAAGGCCCAGGCCAGCCGGAGAGCCACTGCTAGCTCACTGACTGTTTTCAGAAGCTGTTGCATGAACCTGTCCTGACTGACCTCAGGGCTTCAGCCCTCAGCTTGGCTCCAAGTCCTGCTCCGAGCAGCCAAGCCAGGAGACATCTTTCTAGTCACCTGCTCCGGAGGGAGTAGGGCCCCCCCAAGAAACAACAGCCGTGGGCAGAGGCCAGAAAGCCAAGTCGGCGTAGCTGGTAGGCTCAGTCCTGGCCACCCTACTGCACCATCCAGAGACCATAGCTGGCACCCTCTGGGGCACATGCCTGTAACACCATGTCCTTCCCCTGACCTGCGTATGTGACGGGGAGGGGCGGGGAGGGGTGCCTTCCAGGCTGGGCTGTGGATGCTACAGAAAGAGTCCAGCAGTTGCGTGGTCTGTAGGCTCTGGGCCCACCACAGCTGCCCTGACCCAGCTATGCTCAGCATTGCCCGGAGGAGACAGGTGGGGCAGGCAGGGACTGCCTCTGAAGGCTCGGAGAGCTCTGTCAAGGCCAGCTCCTGTCACATGTGGGGACCCAGGAGAACCCATGGTTTGCGAGAGCTGAATGGGTCCTCTGCAGCCTGACAGTGCCTGCAGTCTGGCTGTCCTGCGCCTTGATGGGCGGGCAGGGCAGGAGCTGGGGCTGGGACTAGGGGCTGGACCTGGGACTGAAGATGGGGTTCA